CATACAGGCACCTGCATAGACACACAGATGGGCCACATATCACACTGGCCCCACAGTTGGACCTGCCCCTCCACACCTCTGCCTGCTGGGTCTGAATCCTGCTCACAGCATCATGGGTGGTTCCTGAGCAGGCGCCTTCCCCCAGGAACCCTGCAGATCCAGCAGGAAGGGATCTATGCTCCTGGTCTGGAGCAAAGAGAGGGCCTAGAGGCAGGGATTTAGCCTTCTATGCTCCACCACCGAGAAAGACAGAAACGGACACAGACACACCCCGACTAACACCCGGGAGGTGCCGCCCTTTCAAACCCAGACTGAGGACAGACCTGACACAGACAGACGCACGCCTGCACCGTTGCCTCACCCAGCTTCCCGGAGAGGACCCTGGGCTGAGGCAAGGCCTGGGACCACCCTGAGGCCCTTGTCGCCTGGGCCCTTCTGTCAGGAGTCCCAGAAGAGGAGGGAGGGAGCGGCTGAAGCCGGGGGTGGGGGGTGGAGCCGGCAGGCCTCTTGCCCAGCCACCCACCCCTAGTGGGTCAGCCTGGCCAGCCCTGGGTGGTGCCACAGTCCATGTGCTGCCCAGAGAGCTGGCTGCTGACCCACGACCACCTGCCTGTCCCAGGTGGTCCAGAGGATCAAGGCTGTGGAAGGGCAGACCCGGCTGCTGGTGGTAGACAAGGAGACGGACGAGGAGCTGCGCCGGCGGCAGCTGACCTGCACTGAGGAGATGGCCCAGCGAGGGCTTCCACCCGCCCATGACCCCTGGGAGCCAAAGCCGGTCTGGACACGTGCCGGCAGCCTTGGCTCCAAGGATGGCCAGAAGGTATGGCAAGATTCTGCCCACAGGGACCACCTTGGCTTCTCCCCGAACCATCTGGGCCTCTCAATGGCTGTCTCTTTCTGGTTCCCTCCAGAAGGCACTGTCTCAGTCTCTGCTGCCTCTTAGGGCCCTTCTTTGCCCCTGGTGACTACCCTCTTGGCTATATACCCTGAGATTTTTAAGCTGGGTAGGAGGAGGGCGGCCTGGCCCTTCGCCCCCCAGCCTTTTTCCAGGATGCTCAGAGCTGCCTGATCTAGGTAGGGGCCATTCTGACAGGGCCCCCTCCCCAGTCGAGGGGCTATGGAACCCAACCTAGGGAGGGGCTGCTCGGATGTCCTGGGACTGAATGAGCCCAGCTCTGCCTGTGTCTGGTGTTTATCTGTCTGGCTCTGTCCCTGTGTCCGTCTCTAGGTACCTGATTGTTCTGTGAAGGCCTTGGGGGTAGGGGCTGGCCCTCCTCTGTGGACAGTGTATGGTTGGGGGCCCCAGAGGACACTCCTCTAAGCTGAGTCCTCATCTGATGGTTTATAGGGCTGGGGCACCTCCCTCTTCTCCCTGCCCTTCTCTCCACCCTCAGGCTGGAAGAGCTGGCAAAGAATGCACCTCCTTCTAGGTTTCTGGACCTGGAGTGTGTGTGGGGGGAGAGGGGGTGACCCTACGTGGGAAGCATCCGGACACTGGGAGGAAGAGCCTGGGGCTGCTAGTCCCTCCCTCCTGGAAGCCCCACATGAGTGTCTCTCATGTCCTCTCTCCCTTTTTTATTTTTAAAGAAAAATCAATCCCTTTAGGAGATTCAAGCCCAGGGGTTCCCCAGATCCCGCTTTGAAAACCACTGGCCGAAGCCCAGTGGAGGTGTGAGAGCTGCAGTTTCTGGGTGCGCAGGGGATCCCAGCGTCTGCCTCCCCCTGTGCCTGTGACCTGGATGGAGCATAGGGCTGTGCTTTTGTTCTGAAGGGGTATGTGTGCTCCCGGGCAGAGAACCCCTGGGTGGGGTGCAGGGGGGTTGTCTCAGGTAGATGGTGCCAGGCCCTGTCATCTGCATTTTGTCCTGGGGCCAGAGAACGCTGGAATAGGGGGGGTGTTAGGGTCAGATTTGTGATTTCAGGGGGGTCCTGGGATGGTATGCTGGCTGGGCCCCTCCCAGGCCTGAGGGTTGGAGCCTTCCTCCTGCTTGGGCATCTCACACGCCACCCCCAGGAAGTGCCCCTCCTTCCAGACGTTTGTCCATTGACTTGGACACAAATGGCTGAGTTCACCTTCCTGTGGAAAAAATTCTGCCTCAGGCCTTATCTTCAGGATGGGGTGGCCCACCTAGTCCTTGGGTGGAGCCTTCCCCCTCTGCTATTTCAGGCTCTGGGGCTGCAGGAAGCCCTGGGAGGGGGCTTCCTCTGGGTATATTTTTAGAGGAACAGAGTGGGGCCTGACTGGCAGGTTCCTCTGTGGTTCAGGCTGGCCAGAGGATAGCGACCCCCAATTTTGTTGGCTGAACTCAGATCATCAGAAGGAGGCACTGGGCCTTGGGTGTGTGTGTGGGGGGTGAGGGGGTGCGATGCTTGCACGCAGGGCTCTGCTCTAAGGTGGTAAGGTGCATGTGTGTGGTTTGCTTTGGTGCAGGATGAAGGGCCCACCCCTCTTGCCCCCCGAGAGGTAAGGGCTGAGCTGGAGTCAGGGCCCTGTAGGCCACTTTCACCCTCTCAGCCTGTTACCTCCTGTCCTGGGGCTGGGAGGAGAGGGATGGAGCAGGGGAGGACACTAATGTGGCTGGCCCTGGGGGGGCTGCGGGGATTGTCAGGGCCTTGTCAGTGGTGACTCAGTCCCAGGCCAGACAGGGCTAGGGGTGGCTGCATCTGCAGTGCAGCCAATCCAATCCTGATAGTGATGATAGGGGACAGCCCCCCAAAGAGCCAGGGCAACCAGCAACCAGTGGTGCCAGGTGTGGGCACTGATAGACCCTGGGCCCTCCTCGTCCTCCCAGGAGGTCTGGGCCCCCACCCTCTGGTTTTGGAGGCTCTTGGGGGCTGAGAGTGAGTGAGATAACGGAGTCCTGCACGTGGTGGCTGCTGGGCAGAGGACCTTGTCCTGCCAGAGGGTGCTGGGGCTCCTTGCTCCTGCCTCTGCCCCGTGAGCTGCAGCAGGACTGTCTTTTGTTCTGGGTTGGGGTTCCTCCCTTACCTCCCTGTCTCCCCAGCCATGAGTCCTGGGAGCAGGGCAGGGCCTTCCAGCAACTTCCTTCCCTTGAGCCTGAATAAGGGAGGGGGGCTCAGCCACCACCCTGTTCCCCAGAGTGACTCAGCCCCCTGTCCCCACCTGTCCCTGGGGAACCTGGGCCTCAGGGGGAGGTAGATAAATGGGGTGGCAGCCTGGGCCAGCCCGAGTTCAGGCCACGCCAGCTGGATGCTCTCTGTCGGCCACTTCTGTCCCGCCTCCATGGCCCACTCCTGGAATTCCACACCACCCACCCTGGTCTCAGGAGCCCCTCCACCGAGCCCATCCCAGGGGCTTGTGCAGGTTAGGTGTGGTGGGGGCAGGGTGGGCAGTGAGGACCCCCCCAGCCAGTTTAGCCCGTGTCCCCCAGGGCTAGGAGAGAGGACTCTGGGGTGAGCAAGCCGGACCCTGAACAACAATGGGGCTTTTCTCCTCTGCCAGGCTGGTGAGTCACCCTCTGGGGGGGCACGGCCTGGCTCCTGGGGTACCCCCATGCCAGCCTCTTTGTCTGGTTACAGGCACAGCTGGGAGGCCAGGGCTTGTCCAGTTCTGGGGCGGCCCTGCTGGGAGCCGTGGGAGCCTGAGGGCCTGGCTGGGAGAGGGCAGGAAGTGCTCTGAGCCAGGGCTGGGAGTGAGGAATGTGAGCAATGCGCCGCCCGCCTGCGCCCCCTCCAGACCCATGGCTGCCTGCTCTCCCGCAGGGCCTCCCTGCTGGGTCACTGCATTGCAGCCCCTCAGCTTGTGGGTCCAGTGCCAGGTCTGGTGCTCCGTGGGCCCTGGTCTCTCATAAGGAGAGAGGTTAAGGCTAGACATTAGGAGAACATTCCTGGCTTGTGTGATGAGAGGCAGCTGTGCCGGATTGAGGTCGGGATGGCCAGTATGGTTTCGAACCCAGATATGACTTCAGCCTGGCCTTATGCCCCGGGATGCCCCCAAATCGGTGCCCCTCAAATTCTTTTCCCTTTTGGGGGCCTTGACAGATCCTGCCCTGAACGTTAATGTGGAAGGTGTAGGAAGAGGCCACAGGGCCCCATCGCACTGGGCCATCCCTTCATAGCTGTGGGTTGGCTTATGTGTCTGTGTAGCATGTTTGCGAACATACCTTTGGATATCTGGTCTCTTTGACCATGGGATGTGCCTCTGCTACCTGGGCCCATGTCCACATTCCAGGCATGTTACGTCCCACTCCAGGTTCCATGCTTGGCCCTGGCCCTGGCCCTGGCCGTGGCTCTGCTCTGTCCCAGCCAGCCTTGGGGGCCTGTATCTCCGGCGCCTCTGGGGAGGTGTGGGCCCCCCCCTCAAAGCTGCACACTTGTGCCTCCAGGTGTGTCTGTGAGAGTCTCACCCTCCAGTTCAGACCATGTGGCCCAGCTGAGGCCCCAGGGAACTGCAGAGCAGCAGCTCTGTCCCTGGAGTTCTTGGGGTTATAGGGCCAGATGGGGGCCTGCAGTGGGGGTCCCCAGGGGGTTCTGGGCAGTCTTTGGGGGTCAGGGAAGGGGTCTTGGAGGCAAGGCACAGGCTGGACAGGAAGAGGGTGCTCCTGACAGGCAGGAAAAGCCTGGCCCCCCAGCAAGGCACCCACCCCATGAGGAAAGACACTTTTGGTCCCACAGCTGGGTGGCCACCAGCTGGCAGGCCAGAGCCTTACAGTCAGATTTGGGGTTTGGAATCAGGTGGCAGGCCTGGAGGCTGGAATGGACCAGGGGGTGGCCAGGGCTGTAGGGGGGCAGGTACCCAAGGCCTGGAGACCTTCCCTGAGGGTCACCCCCAGCCTGACCCGGCAACCTTATGGGAGGGGCCTGGTGAGCACTCCCACCCTGAACCCTGTCACCTGCACGCGCACTGGAGCCCCGAGCGTCCCAGGAAACCTGAGCTGCTGCCTGCCTGCTCGCTCCGGCCACCGCCATGTTTAATTGAGCACCGATAGCCGCTGGCCACTCAGCACTGTGGTCACTGACGGCCCCGGGCCCCGGCTGGGTGGGGGTACTGGGGCCTGGCCCCTGCCGGCAAGGCTCCCTGGCCCACAGCCCTACTGCAGGATGCCAGAGGTAAAGCGAGGCAGGGCCCTGGGATGTGGATGGGGAACGCTCAGGGCACTATAGCCCCTGTGTCTCAGCAGGGAGGGCAGCAGGGCAGGCCCCACCCTCGGCC